TAAGGATGATAATCCTGGCTTCAAAGGAAAGGCTAGAGAAATGGATAGAAATAAACTGAATAAAAGCATTAAGCAGAGACAGGCAGAATGGGAGAGTTTTCAGCTGGCCTGACAGCATGGTCATTTTGAACATTTGCAAACAACCTTCAATCGTAACAGCAACCTGGTTTGGGCTCTGCTCACAAAAGGACTGCACAAACAGCACATTGGGAGTTGGCCACCAGAAAGGTTCGATCCTCCAATTGTTCCTCAAACTCTCCAGTGACCAGTGTATAGCTAGCCCCCACTCTCATCCAACCAGCAGCCATGACACACACCTGCCTGAGGTCAGAGGTGGGTGCACCCTTGTGGATTAGAAGCACACCACCCCCACGTGTGGAAGTACACACTCTCTACCTCCTCCAACAAACAACACACGCAGTGCTAGACCCATGCACTGACCCCAGCCACCCCTGGGCACATGGGAACTGCTGCAGCATTCAATCCAGGCAGCCACCTGATACCTGTGTCTGATTCCAGGAACAAGCATCTTGCCCACGTGACCTTCCTGGCCAGGAGAGGGCGCTGACTCAGCCTGCATGTGTTGCCCCTAATGGTCACAGTTTTCTCTTGCTTTTTTTATTTTTCCTTGTTTTTATTTTGCTTTTGTACATTTTCTGGTTTTCTTTTTCTGATCTTCTGTATCGTTTTTCTTTTGTCCCCCTTCTTCCTTTTTCTTGATTTCATTCTTAGCTTTTTCTTTACTATTCCCTTTTCTTTTTCTTTTCTCTTTCTGCTTCTCTAGTTTTAATTTATGTATTTTCCTTTCTGTTTCACTCGTTTTTGTCTAACCTTGTTTCTTTTTCCCTTTCTTCTTGCCCTTTTTAGTTATCATCATTATTTTTTACCGTGTCATTGCTTGTTTATTTGAATGATTGATTTTCCCCTCTTGGTTTTTTGTTGTTGTTCAGTTTTGTTATTTATTTTCTTCTTCATGTTGTTTATTTTGGTCTCTCTCTCTCCACCCCTCTCTCTATCCTAATCCTTCCCTCCATGCCTCACTGGTTCTCTCTTCCTTAAGCCACCCTGCAGGGTATAGCCACCATTCCCACACGACCCATACAAAACAGCATCTCCTGCAACCTCACCCACTGTATCAAAGCCGTCATCACTCGAACACGATGGGGCCAATGACAGACGGTGGCCAACTGCAGCCAACTCACATGAA